AGGTGAGTTGATTAACCCCCTAAGTCATTGATGAATAAAAGAAAGAGTAACGGTCCAAGACCCAAACCTTGAGGAACTTCACTGGCCAATCGAATGACCTGAGAACTGGTCTCCCCTACCCTCACTGTGAAGGTTCTATTTATGAAGAAAGCGGTTAACCACCTATGCAGATTTCCTTCTAGCCCAAAGCTTTTGATTTTGTGAAGGAGCAACCTGTGGTTCACAGAATCCAAAGCTTTGCCAAAATTGAGGTAGCAAACCTCAATGGTGTGGCCCTCATCTAGCTTTTCTGTGACTTCATGCAGGTAGCACAGAAGGTTATTGAGACAGGATCTATGCTTTAAGAATCCGTGCTGGGCCCCACTCAGTAGGGTATGACGCAGTAGATGTCTACATACGTGCTCCCTAATCAGCTTCTCCATGCATTTGCAGAGGATGGTGGTTAGGCTTACTGCTCTATAGTTTCTTATGTCGGATTTCTGACCACCCTTGTGAACCGCTACCACAGTAGCTGTCTTCCAGTCACTAAGCAGAACTCCGTCTGCTAGTGACACTTGGAAGAGCAGGCTTACGGGTGTAACAGGAACATCTGCTAGTGGTTTAAGGATGGCTGGATGAAGCCCGTCTGGCCCAGGCGCTTTGCTCACATTGAGTTCCGACAGAACCCTGCGCACCTCCTCTGGTGTCATAACTAGATCCTCCACGGTCTGGATCTGTTGACCCCCTCCAGACGGGATAACCCACCCTCTATCCTCCCTGAGCACACTTCNGTCGGATTTCTGATCACCCTTGTGAAGCGCTACCACAGTAGCTGTCTTCCGGTCACTAGATAGACCTCCGTCCGCTAGTGACACCTTGAAGAGCAGGCTCACGGGTGTAGCAAGGACATCCGCTAGTGGTTTAAGGATGGCTGGATAAATCCTGTCTGGCCCTGGTGCTTTGCTTACCTTGAGTTCCGACAGAATCCTGCGCACCCCGTCTGGTGTCACTACAATGTCCTCAAAAGTCTGGATCTGTTGACCCCCTCCAGACGGGATAACCCACCCTCTATCCTCCCTGAGCACACTTCCAAAGTATCTGCCTAGTACTATGACCTCCTGGTCCGTTGTGACTATTTTATCGCCCATCCGGTTAATGGCGCTTATTTCGTCTCTAAGCACCCCCTTGGACTGCACGTAACCATAATACCTTTTTCTGGTTTTGCTCTCGCATTTTGGACTAGATGTAGTTTGTATTTTCGCTTTTCGCTTTGAACAACGCGAACAACCTCGTTTCTGTGTCCTACGTAACGCATCGGCGACAGCTGCGATCCTACCTCCCGGNTCGCCCCAAACGTTGCTATTCGCCAGAACCAGCAACGAAAATTCGTTAACGTCAACCTCGCATCAAGCTCTCCCCTCATCGAGCGCACGGCCGACTTCCTTTACAAATCGAGTCAAAACCTCGAAAAGTCGTTGCCCCGCGAAGCCTTTCGATACTACCGTGTTGCGCTTACGTGGATGCGAATTGTTGAAACGAAAAAGAACTCCTCGCAACCGCTGACCCCAGCGGAACTACAGTTCACAGAACTGTATGAAAATAGGAGTTTTCGGGTCCCCGAGCCGTTGTCACTCTTCGTAGAGTTTTGGCACGGTAATGACAATAAATGGGGACCCATGCTTCCCTCCATTGCCTACAGCACAACTGGCCGGCTATGGTGGCTATTACACCGATGAAATATACGGTGTAGCCAACCATAATCTCTACGAAGAGATCCCCGCCCCTGGTGTAGTAGCCGAGGCTTGGAGAATGTCCGTGAGCGATCACGGCGCAGGCCACTATCAAACGGCACTGAGCCCTTTTGAAGGTGCTCAAGCTAACCTAAATCTTTTAGGTTATGCACCACTCACCAATAGGAGGTCGGAGGCTAAGAATATCTTCTTAGCTAATGGAATCACGGCCGATGTCTTCCCAGAAGACATTCCCGGAACTGCGATCAACTTTGCTCTTATTGACGCAGTTTCCGAAGTGCTTGGTGGAGTCAGTGCTTTCAAAATGCACGACATTATCATCTCGTAAATGGAGCAATCAGGCTGTCGCGCGATGATGCTCCCCTCAGCTCCTACGGACAACTGGAACCCAAAAGGTGTAGCATACACCAATGCGGATTTCATCACGAGTTCTCTTACCGTGATCACCCAGTCACGTTCGGGGTAGCTTCAGTGATGCTGCTACAAGCATTCAAGGAGCCACGACCCACCGGTCCCATGCCCCATAACCAACTTGTAGGCACTAGCTTATCGATACCCCGAGAGATTACGGCTATGTCGTAAACGAACGTTCGGACGAAAGCAAAACGAGGCGACTCGCGAAACGGAGGACGGGTTTGTATTGTCAAAACCTGCAGAGCAAAGGAGGGATGCGGAAGCGTTAGCAAGCGTGCGGAAAAGTGAAAGGAAACACGTGCTGACCGAAGAGGTGGCCTTGGAGTGGTAAAACAATAAGGTGCACAAGAGGAAAGGTACACGTAGAATGGGAATTCGTTGATCACTACACTGTACTTGTTTCCTTTGCACTTCTGATTTAACAACCTGGGCCTTTATCTGTGAGCCCCGGTGCTTCGGCTGATGACTTGTTCCTGGCTTTAGGGTCTCGGTATTTCCAGACCAACACCCTTAGTCAAAACCGTAGCACCTACATTCGCTTTTCTTTTTTTGCGGCTGAAACTTCGGCGTGCGTCCTCATTGCCTCGGGTGACAGGTGCATCACCCTGCACTACTACTGATGAGCGCTGTGCTGAGAGTACCTCTGGTCGTGCCGTAACCAGCGCATTTTCGGCTGCTCGAAAGCAATGAGAACAAACTCATTGTAATCCTGCGCTTTGACAATGGAACGCGTAGTGTTCTGGTTTTAGGCCAGAGCATTTCTCATGCGCCCACTTGTGGCACACGTCGCATTCTATACTTTCAGGACGCGCTTCCCACAAATAACCCTCAGACGTTGGAACGCTGCTCGGGACATGTCAAATACGAATGATAGAAAGGTACTGCAAAAACGGGTTAAAGCACCTGGAAACTTCAAAAAACGCTATACGGACAATGTAGAAACAAATACCAAATCTAACAATGTTTATGTAATGCAGCCTTCTAAGATGTCGCAGCAAATACACTTAACACACGCTTAGACAAAATTTCTGTCAATAAAATGTGAAATATCGAAAGACATCCCACGAAAATAGTACCAAAAAGATTTTCAACGAGAGCACTTCATAATTTCAAACCGGTACAACGGAATTGATCTCCAAGGCACAGTGTTGAAGTGATCTACCAGATTGGGAAAGGTTTCTTGTTATTAATGTTATTAATTAATATGTTTAGACATATAATCCCCGGTCGATGGGCAATGGAGGCATTAGGTGGTTCCAGTGTCTATGTATGGTTTATATGAGCCAAAAATGTAACAACCGTTTACCGCGCAGTATAAAATGTCCCTCCATATATATACAACCAATATGGCTGCCCTCAATGCATTTCTATGTTTCGTTTTCTGCTTGTTGACTCGCGCTGCACAGTTATCGATGCAATCCGCGGACAATTCCTCGACTTTTAAACGTTGGATAAGAGACTCATATGAGTCTTTGGATCACTTTGCGGATGACCTTCGTGACTTTCAGTTGACTACATGTACTCGTGCCGCTTGGCAAAAAGAATATGATCGCGAACTGCCACCTGGAGTGGCGTATTATTACATCAAATATTGCTGCGTCCATAGACAAAGAAAAGGAGGTACTAAAGTGAGCAAGTAAATTGTGGAAAATGACAAATAAAATAACCAGTTATTTGATTGTTTTTAGATACCAGAATTTCCATTGTCCTGCACAAGTGACCGTGCGTTATATGAATGGAGTTTACTGTGTCGCTAAGTGGTTAATTGTGCATATGTAGGTACTAGGTTATCGGTACCCCGGGCTAATACGTATAGGTCGCAAACGTACGT